CTGTGCGGGCGCGCGCCAGACGGGGCCGATGGCGTCCGGCTCGAGCCGGCCGATCGCGCGGTTCAGGCCTCCAACCGTGAGGAGGATGAGACGGCTTAGCCTTAGGTCGGGCGTGTCCCCCTACAGGGGGGTTGGACGAAAAATTAAAAATAACAGCAAAAATGCCAAAAGTGCTAAAACATAGTAATAGTAAAATCGTTCCGAGGCTATGTTTTGACTATTGTGGAATATTCCTCCTGTAGAGGGACAGGCCCGACTGAAGTCTGAGCCCTTCCTGCACGGAGGGGCCGAGGGCACGTTCTGGTTGCCAGTGCTCGAGCGGCAGTGAAGAGCACCGCCAGCTCCCCAAGGGATGGGGCGGGGTCACCACCGTGCCAGAGCACTTTGTTCGAGAAGAGCGCGCCTCATCCACAGCCGAGGGCGCGTTCTGGTTGCCAGTGCTCGAGCGACAGTGAAGAGCACCGCCAGCTTCCCAACCGATGGGGCGGGGGCACCACCGTGCCAGAGCACCTTGTGCGAGGCGAGCGTGCCCCATATCCACAGCCGACGGCGCAAGGCAGGCCCCGATGCCCTCGGGGTCGCCTCTCGACGCGCGCCGCTGGGGAGGCGTGAGAAAGGAGAGGGGCATCTTGTGAAGGGGCCCAAGGACACGCAAATAAATACACACACGCACGCAAACCCAACGGGCCAGGGCGTGCTAAGATCTCCGGTACCTGGTTAACAGTATTTCTAGTTCGCGCGCGCGGGGCGGCCCCTGGGGGTCCCCGGACGAAAAGTACCCCGGCAAGGTCCCGGCAAGTCCCCGGCAAGTCCCCGGCAAGGTCCCGGCAAGGTCGGGTCAGAGATGCCGGAGTTCTGTTTCGGAGTCCAAGAGGGCTCCAGATCGGTCCAAGAGGGCCCCGAGAAGCTTTCTAGACGGTCCAAGAGAGGCCCGAGACGGCCAAAGATCGCCCGAAGACGCCCCAGATGGCCCCAAGACAGCCCAAGAGGCCTCCAAGACGCTCCAAGGGCCTTCCAAGAGGCCTCCGAAGAGGGCCCCAAGTTGCCAAAATCGTTGATTTTCATTTGTTTTTTCTATGTTTTTTTGCGTTCTGGCCTTTTCGCTTCCGGACGCTCCAAGAGGGCCCAAGAGGCCTTCAAGACTGCTCCAAGACGGCCCACGAGGCTCCCAAGACGGCCCCGGAGCGGCCCAAGAGCGCCCCCCAGACGGCCCAAGTGCTGCCCAAGGCGGACCAAGAGGCCCCAAGACGGGCCCAAGAGGGGCTCAAGAAGGGAACCGAGAACTGAAAAATCGAGCCCTCCGCCCCAGAAGGCGCCCAGGACCCCGAAAGAGGCCCCAAGAGACTCTCCAAGACACCCCCAAGACGCCCCAATAAGCTCCCGTGAGGCCCCAAGAGGACCAACAACGTCAGGCCCCAGGCCCCAAGAGGACCAACAAATACCGCCAAGAGCCCGCCGAAAGCCCCCCAAGAGACCGTCACGAGAGCTCAGGAGGCCCCCTGGAGGCCTCCCGAGTTCTCCAAGAGGCCTAAAAAGAGGCGCCAAGAGGCCCCAAACGGCCCCACCGAGGCTCCAAGAGGCCACGAACGCGCAAGCAAACGCCTGCGATGGCACAATACGGGCCGGCGGAATGAGCGAAGCGATTGAATAAATACGCACACACGCACGCAAAAATAACAGGTTTCTCATATTTTCCCATATCTTCTGGGTCTTTGTCTTCCCCCCACTTCCCACATGTTCCCATACTTTCTGGGGGGTCGACGATGGATCGTGTCTGTCTGTGTGTTTTTTCCCCTCCTGGATCTGGGTCCAGGAGCAGCGCATGCCATACAGCTCACGGGCCCGCGTACGCACCTGGGCCTCTCGCCCCGAGGAGCCGAGACTCTCCTGCCAGGGGGAGGGGGAGGAGGGGGGGGGGGGGGGGCCAAGCTAGGTGCGCTCGCGTCATATCTGACATCCTACCCCTCCCTCCCATCCCTTACCATGGCGTAGATCCCCTCTCTACTCGCACAGTTGGATGTCGAGCAGGGCAATGATCCCGAAAGGGTGCGCGAGGCATTGTAGAGCACGGCATGGCATGGCGTAGAAGAGCACCGCAAAGCGTAGTATGTCACAGCATGGCGTGGCGTGGAGAGGGGTGGGCAGGCGAAGGGGACCCGAGGAGCTGCGGGGTGCGAGCGAGCGGGATGCGGAGGGGAGAGGGGGGGGGGAGGGAGGCAGGGCAGGGAGGGGCGGGCGGGAGGCGAGGGGCGGGGACCTCTTGCTGGACTGCATGGCAGGGGGGGGGGGGAGATGGAGAATCGGAGGAGGTGCGCGGGGGGGCAGCGGGGGGACAGGCAGGGAACAGGGCAGAGGGGGAGAGATAGGACGGAAAAGCGGGGGGGGGAGGGGCAAACCCGAGGCTGAGATTGGTGGTGGAACCGATACTGTTGATTCTGTAACACCCCGCAGCTGCGGATAGGGGCGGGCGCCGGGAAGGTCGCGGGCGGGTCGCGGGCGGGTCGTGGGTGGGTCGCGGGCGGGTCGCGGGCTAGGACGACGACAACAAGCGGGAATAATGATAAGAATAGCCATTGCAACAACACCCACACAAACCGGGAATAATGATAAGAATAGTCATTACAACAACACCCACAACAATAACAACAATCACTTTACCCGAACGCTCAGTGTTCTCACCAGTGCCAGGGTTTTCATACGACGCCCGCCAATACCCCCACTTTGTGGGGGGGCCGGTTCAAGCTCTACCACATTTCCAAACGACTCTTCGCCACCACCCACACCCAGCTTCCCGCCCTATGACGTTCGGACACTTCACTTCGTGGCCTGCGGACGACCGTGGCTACTACACTGGCGCATGGGTACAGTGACTTGTTGTGGTAACATTTTCTGGACGCTAGCTTAGTATACGACTTTTCCCCCTGTTCCAACACTGGACACCTATACTGGTTTTTGGAAAAACCATTGTTTTTTTTAGGATTCGGACAGCGCGCGCGGGTAGAAATTTTGAAAAGTCGTGCAGGTGTTTTTCGAGGACCTACGGTGCGATTCGTGTGATTTTATGATGCGCGGTGCTAAAATTCTTAAAAACCCAATGGTTTTTGGAGATTTCGGCGTGCGCGCGCGAAGAAAAAACGAATGTGTCCCGCATGGTATTATTTGACAGGGATGATGGCCCTGGCAGGTGCGCAACCGTTGTGCAGCAACAACCGTCCGCAAGAGCGCGCGGGAGCCCGTTTGACAGAAATGTTTAAAAAGTGTTGGGTTTCCTACGAATCCGCAAGAGCGCGCGGGATGAGATTTTGACATTTTTTTGTTGAAAAACCATTGGTTTTTTGATGTTTTTATGTTAAAATCGCTCCGAACACTAAGCTTTTGGAAGGATTTCGTCTTGCGCGCGCGAATGTCCACTTTACCTTATTTTTTGCAAGGGATTCTTGAAATTTGATTATATTAGAACAAGAAATGTCATTTTATAGTGTTTTTTGCAAGGGAAACATCGGATTACAACAAAACAACCGGATACTACTACTACTACTACTAACTACTACTACTACTACTACTACTACTACTACTATACTACTACTACGCTACTACTACGACACTACTACTCTACTACTACTACTACTACTACTACTACTACTACTACTACTAACTACTACTACTACTACTACTACTACTACTACTACTACTACTACTACTACTACTACTACTACTACTACTACTACTACTACTACTACTACTACTACTACTACTACTACTACTACTACTACTACTACTACTACTACTACTACGCGACTACGACTACTACTACTACTACTACTACTACTACTACTACTACTACTACTACTACTACTACTACTACTACTACTACTACTACTACTACTACTACTACTACTACTACTGCTACTACGACTACTACTACAACAACTACTACTATTTCTATTACGATTACTACTACTACTACTTACTACGACTACTACTACTACTACTACTACTACTACTACTACTACTACGACTACTACTACTACTACTACTACTACTACTACTACGACTACTACTACTACTACTACTACTACTACTACTACTACTACTACTACTACTACTACTACTACTACTACTACTACTACTACTACTACTACTACTACTACTACTACTACTACTACTACTACTACTACTACTACTACTACTACTACTACTACTACTACTACTACTACTACTACTACTACTACTACTACTACCACTACCACTACTACTACTACGACGACAACTACAGCTACAACAATACCGACAACAACAAGCACAACCACCAATACCGCAACACTAACAACAAACGATAACCAACAACATCAGTACTACCAACAGCAGCAACCACCACTACCACCACACCAGCAACCAACCAATCACCACCACCAACAACAACAACAACAATCACAGCAACATCATCAACAACAACAGCGACGACGACGCCAACAACATCAGCGGCAACAACACCAAGAACAATAACATCAGCAGCAGCAACAACACCATCATCATCAACAACACCAACGACAACAACAGCAACAACAACAACATGAACAATCTGCACCGCGGAACCCCACTTCAGCCACGCGCCCAGGGACAGTGGAGGACCTTTCGGCCCCCGTACTCTGACAATGTTTGGAGGTAAACGTGTCTCTTTTCAGACTCGTGGTCATCACGATGTAGTAGGCATGGCACGTGAACCTCCCGAGGAGGGGGTCGCCAAGAGGTATTACACAGCCCGCTCGCGTCCAGGCTGGTAGGACCACTCCGGAAAAATAAACGTTGCGGAGGCAGACGCGTCCTCCTCCTCTTCCTCCAGCTGCCCCATCCTGCTCTACCCCCCTCGCAATCTATCCTCCTCCTCCTCCACCTCCTCTTCCTCCTCCTCCGTCTCCTGGACTCAGAAGACTCAGGAGGCTGCGGGAGGGATGGGGAGGGGCGGGAGGGGGGTGAGGGGCAGGAGGGGCAGGAGGGGC